AAAAAAATTAAAAATTAAAAAAAAATTTTAAAAAGAATGTGAAAAGACAAAAAAAAAAAGAAAGAAAAGTGAAAAGACAACCCACGTGGTGTGAGAAAGTATTTGCAAATCATAACTATCTGATAAAGGGTTTATATCCAGAATATATAAAGAACACTTACAACGCAATAATAAAATGACAGCCCAACTGAGAAATAGGCAAGATTTAAGTGGGCATTTCTCCAAAGAATAGATAAGAATGACCAATAAGCACACGAAAAGATGCTCAACATCATTAGCCATCAGGAAATTGCATATCCAAACTAGGATGAGATAGCTGTTCTCACTCCTTAGGAGGGCAGTAATCAAAAAGACAGATAATAACAAGTGTTGATGGGGTGTTGGAGATATTTGGAACTCTCATACACTGCTGATGGGAACAGAACAAGGTGCAGCGGCTTTGGAAGACAGTTCCTCAAAATGTTAAACATAGTTACCAGATGACCCAGCAGTTCCACTCCTAGGTGTCTACCCAAGAGAACTGAAAACATGTTCATGCAAAAACTTGTTCATGACACTTCATAACAGCATGATTCATAATAGCCGAGAAGTAAATGACCCAAATGCCCATGAACTGATGAATGGATAAATGAAATGTGGATTATCGATATTGTTGAACATTATTTATTCAACAATAAAGGGGAATGAAGTAACAAAACATGCTGCAACATGGATGAACCTTGAAAACATTGTGTTAAATGAAAGGAGCAAGTTGTAGAAGTTCATATATTGTATGATTTAATTTATATGAGATGTCCAGAGTAGGCAAATCTATAGAGACAGAAAGCAGATTACTTGTTGCCGAGGGCTAGGGAATAGGGGTGGAGTGGGGAATGACTGAGAGTGGGTAGGGGGTTTCTTTGGGAGGGGGATGGAAATACTCTAAACTTAGACATAGTAATGGTTGCACAACTCTGAAAATATAATAAAAATCACTGAATTGTACACCTTTAAATGGATATATTTCATGGTGTATGAATTATATCTAAATAAAATGTTTAAAAAGAGTACATACTGTATGATTACATTTATAGAACATTCTTGAAAATGCAGACTAACCTATGGTGACAGAAAATATTAACAATCACTTGGGAACAAGAAGAAGTGTAAAGGGACATGACAAAACATTTTGGAAAGTGATGGAAGTGATGGAAGTGTTCACTGACTTGACTGTGTGATGGTTTTGTGAGTGTATACATATTTCAGAGTTTCTCAGATTGTATACTTTAAGGGTGCCGTTTATTATATGTCAACAATCACTCAATTAAAAAAAGCAAAAACATGTGTGAGCTTCACAAATAATAATATATGTATTATTTATTAAAAAATAATTTGACACATATTTATTGGGTACTGGTGTAGTGTTAGCTCCTGGGGATACAATGGCAAGGAAAAGATGGGTCCAGCCTTCAAGCAGCTCATACAGGCACAAGCAAAGGAAGATGCATATGGTTGCAAAATGGTTTATATACCTAGGAAGTCATGGTCACCTTCATGGGGAGGATTTCTGGAAGTGACAAATGGGAGTTAGAGGTAGAGGGTGGGGTTTGTGATGACATAGTGGGCCTCCTTCCTGACACTAGTTTAGGACGAGCTGCAGTAAGTACTTGTCACATCTCAGAGGTCCTTGATTTTATTTTTGCCACATACCGTCATGCTCTTCTCCCCAGGAGCCACATCACGGTGGAGTGGATTGTTGTACTTACATGGACCTTAACAATAAGTGTGAAGCCAAGTTATAAATAACATCCTTCATTGCTCTTGGCAGACTTGATATTATTTCGTTACTTGTGATGATGTATTCAAGGTCCGTCCTTCCACTACATTGTGTGCAGTATGAGAGCCAGGACTGAGTGTTTCCTATACCATCCTGTCCTCGGCAGGTAGCGTAGTTCTTCGCACGTTAGCAGGGCTTGAAAAAGATTACTTGCTGATAGGTTAGGAACTGGGCTGATACAGAATAACACATTTGACTGGTGGCCTCAGGCATGGCTCAAACTTTTTGTGGCAAGAAGTATAAAGCGGTCTCACTGCTCATGTTTCTCCGCCCACCCCTCCACCCCCCGGCCACTGCCCTCTGCCTCTTAGCTCTGGCCGCAGTCATGCTAGTTCCTGTCCACCCTAGCCCTGCCTACCACCTGTTTGTCCTAGTGGCCTGCTGTCAGGTGCCTCTTTAATTGGGTCCACTCCCAGAGGCTGCTGGGTGAGGTTCTTCTGAAGAGGTCAGGACAGTCTGTCCTGGAGAGGGCAGCTCTGGCCATTGGCCTGCTCTGGGCCAGTTGGGCATTCTCGGGCTCTGGCTGAAGGCCCACTAATGTGTTGTCTCTTTTCCTCCTCAGCGCTTCTGTATGCCACCATCTTCGGAAATGTGACGACCATTTTCCAGCAGATGTATGCCAACACCAACCGGTACCATGAGATGCTCAACAGCGTTCGGGACTTCCTGAAACTCTACCAGGTGCCAAAGGGCTTGAGTGAGCGAGTCATGGATTATATCGTGTCCACCTGGTCCATGTCCAGAGGCATCGACACCGAGAAGGTAAGGAGGGCGATAAACTCAGGTGAGCCCTGTGTCGGCTTTCCCAGGGAGAACTGAGGCGCTCCTAGGGCAAGGGGTTCTCAAACCTGGCTGTGCATCAGAATTCATTTGGGTAGTTTGGGGTTCCCACATCCTACCTCCAGAGGTTTTGGTGGCTTCCAGATCGGCTTGGCTCAAGGACCAGCAATTAAGAGATTAAGAGCCATTATTTAAGAAACTGGAAAGACAGTCTGTGTCTCCTGGAGAAGAGAAGCATTAGAAGTCTAACTGTCTGGAGCAGAATTTCCCAGACTTGTGTGATGATAAGGCTCAGGGCCATCCTGGGGGGAGGTCATCGTCATGGCTGATTTTCCTTTGGCCTCAGGCTCTGAGATGGTACAGCAGAGCCACGGGTCTGTTTTTTTTCAAATTTTCGATATTTTGTTCATCGGGGATTTTTTTTGCATGAATTTTTATTTTTAAAAATACTGTATTAAACTATAATTTGTCCTGATTACTGAGTTTTTAGCCCAAGGCTGTTGCCTCACTGTAGTCTCAGCTCTGAAAAGATTCCCAGGATTCGTGGTCATTAAATACAGATTCCCAGCCTCTATCCCAGATGTATGGAATCCAGATTTAGAGGAGGGGGAGGTGTGAGGAAAAAACCTGCATTTTTAACAAGTGCCCCGGTGATCCTATTCATCAGACAAGTCTGGTGAATACTGTTCAAGCGCTTGTGCCTTACTCCTCATTGGCTTGAGGAAAACATCAGTTAGACATCTCTCTAAGGCTAAGGTATCAGTTTTCCCATCTGTAAAATGGGAACAGCCATAAATTCCTATTTTCTCTAAGAGTTGCATTATTCTAGATGAATTTCAATAAAATGAAGAAACTTTGGGGGCTGGGAAGAACAGAGAAAAGATACAGTGGACTTCCTATTCACTTCTCAGTTATCTCCTGTGTATATTTTCTATAAGCAAACATGTTTTCCTGGATCTGTTTTTCTCTGCTTCTCAGTGTTTTCCACCCCACTTCTCCTTTTACTGCCAATCTCTAAGTACTTGGGGAATTCTGATTCCTTTCATTGTCAGAATAAGAAAAACAGAAAGATAATGCTGTTGCAAAAATATAACACATTCAAAGCCAAATTCAGCTGACTTTGGATCAGCTGTCCTTGCTCTTACTCTTCCTCCATTAGAATAGTTAGCTGAGAGTTGACAGTTTAAAAGAAAAACTTGAACTCAATTTAATTGATTCCCACTTAAAAGGAACGATAATTCAGTTTTGTTGAAAATCGGCCATAATCACAACAGTAACATACTAAGCTCGCCACCGTAGCCCCAGGTACCATGCCTTGAACGCACATTAGGAACAGATACTTATCGCGCTCTCTGTGTGCTGGCCCCGCATTCATGCTTCAGTGATGCTCCACAGCAACTCTGGGAGGGAGCCGCTGTTATTTCGACGTAAGAGACGAGGACACAGAGGCCCAGTTTGTTTTGTTAACTGCCTGTGGTCGAATTAAGAATGGCAAAGTCAGGATTTGAATCTGGTTTTGTCTGACTTGGAAGCTTGTGCTTCTCCTACTATTACTTTTTTTTTTTTTTTTTTTTTAATTTAAAACATGTACTGGAGGGAAGAAGGATGAGAAGATGAGTCCAGATGGAGTTGCCCTAATTCTCACCCGGGCAGGGCGTCAGTCGGGTGGGTCTGAGTCCCTGGCTTCGCCAACCTCCTGCCATAACTGTGTCTGGTGCTTTTGCTTCATTCAGCGAGGCACGTAGGTTCTGTGGGTGCCTGGCCGCTGCTGGAGCAGAAAGCAACTTTGATCTCTCAGCCCTGGAGATTTTCCCAGGAGCCAGGGTAGATTTGTAAATCTGGTTGTCTGGAAAGAAGCCCTTCCCCACCCCACTGCAGGGCTGGGCTGGGTGGCTGCCCATGGGAGACAGCACTGGCAGTGTTTGCCCGCCCTGTCCCTCCCTGCTGCCTCACTTTCCTGAGAGGCTTTGGGATTTGCCCCAGGTACTGGCCTTGGTGGAAGAGGGAATACTGTGGCAATTCACTGCAGGGCCCAGCCTAGCCTGGGTGGTTGCTCTTCCTGGCAGAAGCTTGGGGCAGGCAGCTGCTGGGGAAGGGTCCAGTCCCGTGGTCCCCTCCATCCTGGGTCAGAATGGTCAGGGATGACCATGGGAGCCTAGGGGTGTGTGTCTGGGGGAGGGAGAGGCGGTGCTGGGCTCCTCTCATTTGACCGGCAATTAGCTGGTGACCATGAGCATGTCGCCTGTTCCTCTGAGCCTCAGTTTCCATGTCTGTAACACATGGACACTAGATGCTTTTTAGTACTAAGGCCAACCTCCTAGGCCCCCTCATCTATGGCCTTCTGGACTTCAGAGCCTCCTTCAGCCTGACCCACTGCTCCGCTGTGCTAACAACATCAGAAGTGAAAGCTCACATGCACTGAGCACTCGTGTGTGCTAGGCGTTTCCCCAGCACTTTCCACATACCAGTTCACGGAATCCTCAGAAGAATTCTGTACTCACATTCAAAACTGAAGACTTGGGAAAAGAAGCTAAGTATGGCTTCAAGTTCGCAGGAATAGTAAACGTTAAAGTCAGGAATTGAATCCGGGTCTGCCTGATTTTAAAGTCTATTCTCTCAACCATGTGTCTGTCCTGTCCAGCCTGGGGAGTTTTCATGAGCCTCCATGATGACATTTCCCTGTGGCCTTTGAGGTTCTGAAGAACCAGCAGAGATGGTCTCTCCTCAGGACCTAACAGAAGGGAAGGTGCCCAGGAAGGGGTCTGCAGCTGAGAAGCATTCAGCTCAGAGAGAAGGATTCAGGACCCCCTAAGCTGCCCAGTGTGGAGCCAATAGGAGAATGATGGAGGTGCCTGATGGCCATGGCAGACCAGGTTGTTCGACCCCCAGCTTCCCTCTCCTCACACATGCTTTCCAGTGGATCCAGGAACAGGGCCAATGAGTAAAACATTGTCTCCATGCCAAGGCCTCGTTCACTAGTGGCCTCTGCCAGCAAAGCCCAGCCCAGGGGAAACCAAATATTGAAAGGTGAACTTACCTGGAGAACAAATGTTGGTTTTGAACTGCTGGGTACTGTTTTGACATGACATGCAAGTGTTCTCCACTCCCTAGTGTTCTGCTTGGGGAGAAAGGATCCAAATTCAGTCTGCATTTCTACAGGAGTCTTGTTTTCCAATGAGCCGGAAGGAGGGAAACACCTAGCAAGTGCTCAGTCTAAGCTTTCGCTGTCTGAATTCTCCTGTGCCTCGGTCAGTGCTCCGTCCCCTCTCGAAGAGATCCTGCTTACTTCCTCAGCATCCCGCCACCCCAGAACGAGCAGGAAGAGGCACACAGAGCATGGGGACCAGTGTGTACGGAGCCCCTTTCCCGGGTCCTGGCACTGTCCCTGGGGAAACGTACCGGTACATGTCATTTCACTTAATCCTCCCGAGCCGGTGTGAGCAGTGTGCATTTTATAGGAGAAACTCAAGTGTAGAGTCGTTAGGCCACTTGGAGGGGAAGGAGCTGGGATTTCGACTGTTGGACCTCTTCTGTCCACGGACTCGCTTCCATGCAGAGCCCAAGGGTGCCTGTGAGGGTGGGGTACAAGCAGCATGGTCACAGGCAAGGTGAGACTTGCACAGAGTTTTGAAGGAGGCTGAGAAACGTCCAGATTCCAAGGTGAACTCCAGGCGCAGAGGCAGATGGCCTGCATGAAGCAGAGAAGCAAGGGTGCAGGGGAAACCAGCACCCCAAGGAAATGTCTTCACTGAACATGTTTGATTTTATGCCCCCAGCTTTGCTCGCTAGGGTAGGATGGGACAAAGGATTATTTTAAGAACACTCCTAATTTCTCTGGAAAATTCCACTTGAAGGTGTCCTACGTGTTACTTAATGCTTGCTATGGGAGGGGCCATGCAATGGTTTCTTGTAAAAATTTAATCCAGGGAACTATTTCTCCCCCTAGAAAAGGCTAAGAAATTTTCCTTTTTTGAAAGATAAGACCCATGTGACCTCTTACAGTTCTCACTGTGCCCTGAGTTTCTAGATGCTAAGAGTGGAATTACAAGTACCTTTGTTTTGGGCAGCCGCATAATGTAGGAAATGGTTAGTATCTAAACTCTGGCTCTGACTCAGACTACCTAGTTTGAGAGCCCAGCTCTGCCATTTTCTGGCTGTGCAACTTTGGGGAAGTTATTTATCTTCCCTGTGCCTCCCAGTTCCCTTATCTGTAAGATGGTAGCAGACTAGCACTTACATCAGCGGGTTATGTGAGGATTGAATTAGCTATTCAGTGCACATAACAATAATGTAAAATCATTGCTAAATTTCACTTATTTTGCTTATGATTTGTCTCCTCCCACGAGATGGTAAGTTACACAGGGGCAAGGGTTTTTGTCTCTGTTGTTCATGGCTACATCTTCAGAGCTGAGAATGATTCCTGGTATATCACAAGTGCTCAGTAAATAAATATGAAATGAATGAATGACTTAAAAGCACTTAGCAATGACTGGCACAAAGTAAGTGCTCACTAAATGTTACTGTATCACTCTCTTTAAGCCACACACATATTCAGACCATCAACAGTGTGAGCTCCACCTTCAAAATACATCCTGAATCGGACCCTTCCTCACTGCGTCCCAGTTCGGGTCCCCTCACTGCTCACTGAGCTGCCTGCAGGAGTGACCTAACCCAATTCCTTGGCTTCATCCTTGCCACCTTATAGTCAGGGCCCCCGAACTCAACTCTCTAGCTGTGATGATCCTCTTCAAAGATAGCCTAGTCTTGTCCCTCCCCTGCTCACTATCCTCCAGTGTGTCCCCATCACACTCAGAATAAAATCAAAGGCTTTTCATAACCTAAGGTCTCTACGTGTGTGCGTACTTGGCATTCTCCCGAAACTTCATCTCCTATCCCGTGCCTCTCTTTCACGTTGGTTCTTGCTCGGGTCCCCTCACAGCTTTGACCTTGCTGCTGGAATGTTCTCTGACACATTTTCAGGTGTCAGCTTACATGTCACCTCCTCAGACAAGCCTTCCCCAACTATCAATGTACAGAGTCCCGCGTACTCCTAGCCCTGACTTTCTGGCCCTTCTTCTGAGCATTTAGCACTGATTTCTGTGCCCGCTGCTTACTGTCCCACAAGAGCGTAAGTTCCACTGGGACAGGCACTGTGGCTGTCCTGTCTTCCCATGCCTTGAAGAGTGCAGTCTAGCCTGGTGGGGGTGACGTCTACCCCTGGGGTCGTCAGGGGCCACGGGCTGGGGAGCATAGTGAGGACCCTGACGCTGTTTCTTCCTGTGCCCGGCCAGGTTCTGCAGATCTGCCCCAAGGACATGAGAGCTGACATCTGTGTGCACCTGAACCGCAAGGTGTTCAAGGAACACCCAGCTTTCCGGCTGGCCAGCGACGGCTGCCTGCGGGCCCTGGCCATGGAGTTTCAGACAGTGCACTGTGCCCCGGGGGACCTCATCTACCATGCAGGAGAGAGTGTCGACAGCCTGTGCTTTGTGGTCTCCGGCTCCCTGGAGGTGATCCAGGATGATGAGGTTGTGGCTATCCTAGGTAAGTGTGTTACCTTTGCTGGGCATACACCTCTGGGGCCCAGGGTTGGCTGAGCTACTGAGCAGATCAGTGCCACTGCGGCCTCCAGCCGGGGAGAGAGTGCTCCTCAGGGCAAGGCCAGTCGCTCGCCTCTATCCAACACACAAGCATTTGAGTGCCTCTGCTGGGCTAGTCGCTGTCTCAGGCACTTGGGGCATTTCAATGACAAAAATGGGTTTTGTCCTCAGTGGGCTCCCAGGCTGCTGGGGGAGAGAAGCAAATAAGCAGACACTTGCATACAGTGGAAGAAGTATCTAACTCAGTATTCAAGTGTCTGGAAGGCTTCCTGGAAGAAGTGATACCTAAGCTGAAACCTACAGACTGGAGACGTGAAGGGACAAGGGCGTGTCCTCAGCGAGCAAAATCCCTGCAGAGAGAGAGCATGATGCATCTGCAGAACCGCAGTGCGTCCCCTCAGCGCGGCCGGAGCAAAATAACGAGAAGGGCCACGGGGAGAGATGAGGCTGGGCGGGGCTACATGCTGCGCAGATCATGGCAGGCTCTGGGAGCCACGTTAAGGGACTTGGACTTTACTTCGGGGAGCCAGTGAGGGGTCTAAAGCAGGAGAGAGGCCCAGTCGGATTTGAACTTTAGAAAGATGACTGTAGTTACTGCTTGGGTAGTGACTGCAGGGGGATGGCTGTGGTAGGGAGAGGAGGTTGGAGACATGCTCTCCAGGGGCAGGTGGATTGTGCCCCGAACTGACACTGTGGTGGGCAGATGGAGAGAAGCAAATGGAGTTGACTCACTTAAGAAGTCGAATCAACAAATGGTGGATTTGCTGGGGCTGGGGGCTGGGGAGAGGGAAGAGTGGATGAGGGCTGCAGGATTTCTCACTTGGATAACAAGGAAGCCCGTGTGCCACACACTGAACTAGGGAGTATGGGGGGAGGAGTGGGGTCATGGGGGGACATGTTGGTACTTTAGCATTTTGAGCATCAGCGGCCTTGAGAGAGTCATCTGATTGCCTGAGGCAGCTACAGAACAGCTCTTTACTGGGGCCATGTCTAGCTCTCCGAAGGGACCAGCCATCAAGTACCAGCCATCATTTTGGTCATCTAGTCAGTGCCAGGCATTTTACATACATATTTTCATTTAAGCCTTACAGTAAATAAATAAAATATATAAAAGAGTGATTTTATTATCCCCATTTTGCAGATGAGACAGTGAAAGCTCAGAGGCTAGGGAACTTGCCCAAGGCCTCACAATGCTTGAGATCCATGGAGCCAGCATCCTGGAGTCCCTCTGAGTCCAAAACCTCTACTCTGATCCATTTCGCACTACCGCAATCCTAATGATAGTTTATGTAGTTTGCTGGCCCATTAAGTTGCCAGGCACTTTACATACCTATCTTTACATATGATTTCTTAAGAAACTGAGGCAGGGAGAGGTTACATTATATGGAAGTTAGAAGTGAGATTCAAATTAAGTAGCCAAACATACATAGTACACACACACACACACACACACACACACACACACAAAGTCCAAACTTTGTTCCTGTTTGACGTCGGAGTGCATGGTATGCAGCCTTCCTCTTGCTCCCCTGGCCCCAAACCAGCTTGCCCTCTTGATTACATTCTGCTCGGGTTAGCCCAAGGATGATTTATATTCCTTCAGCATGAGCTGGCTGATGGTCAGTGGGAGCTTGGGATAGAGACTGGGTGTGAGGTGGAGGCTGAAACTGTTTTTTGCTAAAATGAAGGTGTGGATTCCTGCTCTCCATTGAACTCTGCAGACAGGGTTAATCTGTTGCTAGCTGTCCTCATCCGCAGAGAGCTGAGATTAGACTATGTGTAGGAACAGCACACATGAGGGGAACAGCCGTTCCTTTAGCACGGCAGTGCAGGGGCCATTTATCCCTCCCTTTAATCCTCATCGGTGTCCTTGATAAAGCGGACTTTCCATTGGTAATCACTCTTGGGATATCTACCTGGCTAAGAAGAAAAACCAGTGACTAGTGAGCTCTTCTTTGAGTTGGAATTGGATTGAATTTGAACTGATCCTTTGGTTAAGGGCATCTTTCACCTATCTCCCCTCCCCCCCTTTAAAGATTTTATTTATTTATTTGTCAGAGAGAGAGAGAGAGCACAAGCAGGGGGAGCGGCAGGCAGAGGGAGAAGCAGACTCCCCGCTGAGTAGGGAGCCCGATGCGGGACTAGATCCCAGGACCCTGGGATCACGACCTGAGCTTAAAGCAGATGCTTAGCTGAGTGAGCCACCCACGCGTCCCAGCCCATCCCTCTAATTGATAACTCACCAAATGCCTTTCCAAGGAATCTCTGCTGGTGACCGGCACCATCCCCCTCACATATGCAGGCGCAGGGCATCCTTGATGACCCACCTCACACAGCTGTGTGTTAGGAGTTGGGGTTGGACAGTGAAGCCTGGAGGAAGGACAGAGCTGCAGAGGGCTTGAGGAAGGCAAATGACGGCTTCCCAGCGGGGTCTCATCTCTCCTCAGCCTGGGCTTCTTGCAGGGAAGCCGACCAGGGCTTGAGCCACCGTTGATTTACTTGGTCAGTTGACTGCTTCTGCAAACGCTGCCCTCTGTCTCCGGTCCTCTGCACATCCTGCCTGCTTCAGTTAGCAGTGCGGACGGGACCTTGGGAATCACTCAGCAGCTTCAGATTCGGGGCAGTTGTTGCCCTCAAGCTGTCCCGACTAGAAAAAGCAGGAGTGTCCCCAGGAGCCAGATTAGGTCCAAAAAGTAGGTCCAAGCTTGACATCCTAAGAAGCCTGTAACATTTCAAGATGCTCTTGTTCTATAAAAGGATGTGAGACAAGTCCTTTGACCTAACTTGACCTCTGGGCCAAGAAGCATAAGATTCCCAGCTATTTGCTCCCTGGAAACTTAAGTTCAGAGTTTTGTTGTTATTGCTTCTTCCTAAATAGAATATCTTTTGCTCAATTCCCTGAAATCCAGTTGTTTGTGCAAAAGGGGTTCAGGTGACAAATGGTTGTTAGAACTAGATCTCTATTGCCTTTTGATGCATCTCAGTTCAAGCCAACCAAAATTTACTGAACACCTCCTACTTACCAGGCACTGTCATAGAATTGGGATTATCAGTGGACCACAGATTAGCCCCCTCCCCTTCCAGGAGCTTCTACAAGCGCAGGAGATTGACACGGTGAAAAAGGCAACAGTCACACTGGTTGATGAAGTGTTACCCCTCCTGGAGGGTCATTGGACAAGTAATTTTTGAGCAGGTACGGTACTGTATCTAGTGCTCCAACGAGGAAAAAAATGAATAGGCAGGGAATCCTTAGTTATCACAAAGTGGGAGGCTTTAGAATAAAGCCCAGAGCTCATCTGTCGCATTTAGTTGTCTCTACTGTCTTGTTATCAGTTCGCTCATTTACATTCTGCTAATTTGTTTCTTCCTCCCAGTTCTAAGATTCTGGTTAATTTTAGCACAAGAATGGGGAAAAGAGTCTGTATTCATAACTGAGGGTGTTTAATAAGTGTTAAAAATAGAACACTTTCTAAAAAAGTTTTCTAGGAGAGTGTTTGTCAAACTTTCTTGATTCAACTCACCATAGGAAATGGTATATTGTCTCGTGAACGAATAAACACATGTGCACACACAGTTATGTGTCAAGCTCGGTGCTTAACTCTTGCCGCATGCGATGCAACCTGGTGTTTTCTATTAGATTCCATTCTCTTTCGTTTAAAAAGAAATTGACATCATGACTCACTAAATTGCTTTCTTGACTGACGCAAAGCCTGCAGCCTGGTGATGGGTATTAAAGAGGGCACGTTCTGCATGGAACACCGGGTGTTACACACAAACAATGAATCATGGAACACTACATCAAAAACTAATGATGTAATGTATGGTGATTAACATAACATAATAAAAAATTTTAAAAAATAAAAATAAAAACGGGGTTCCCCCAACGTCAACAATACCTCTCTTGGACTGCAAGCCTTGCTGTCCCCTGAGGGCAGAAACTACACCTGGATCATCTCTTATGATCTCCTTTTCCTCTGATGTTCTTTGCCTTACGTGTGAGAGGACACCTTTCCAATCCCCTTTCGAATTCTCTTCGAAATCACTCATGTCTTTTCAAATTTAGTTTCTTGGCTCTTTGAAGTAAATTCAAGCCTTCAGCATGTGCATTTTATTCATTATATTTTTAAAGGAATTTTCTTCCAATTGGTGATAGCTATCAGAATAAAAAGGCATAGGTACCCATTTTGACCCCACCCAAGTGGTGGAGATGCCCACGTACCTGCAAGTACGTTCTTATCTTGGTTCTGTGACACTTGACCAAAGTAGAGGAGTCACGGACTTTCCTCAGGGCTCTGCTTGAGTGTAGTCCATCTTCCTGCATTTCCATCTCACAAATGCAGTGTTTAGATTATCTTGCTTCCCTGTGATTTAGTGTCCCTATAGTAACTTCTATGGGTTTTGCATTTTAATACTTAATTTGTATTTTAACCGTGGATCCATCTTGTGTCCTTTCTTTTTGTTTTGTTTTGTTGTGGTTTTTTTTCATCCTCTTGGGCAAGACAGTCTTTTTTGCCAGACTGCACTGAGGGGTGGAAAGAGCCCTGGGCCCAGAGCTGGAGACTTGCCCATAGCTCTGGATCTGCACGAACTCCCTGCAGGAGTGCCCCCACTAACTGACGGAATCTCGGAGTCTCCTGTGTTTCTCCTAAGCCCATCCCACTGCGTCAGTTGTACGTTTACTCATCTGTCCCTCCTGGGAGCTGAGATCCTTTGATTTCCTATCTTGAGCTTGGCCCAGCGTATGGAAGGCACTAGGGCCAATTTGCAGAATTAAGTTGAATTGAATTGAGTTTAATTGAATTGAGCCAAAAGGCAGGGAGAGACTGTGCTCTGAAGGGCCCCATGGTCTAGAATAAGGGTCTGGACTTTATCTTGTGGGGATGAGGAGCTCAGAGAGAGTTTCAAACATGAGTGACATGAAAATTTGGGTCCCACAAATACAGA